ACAGCATAGAAGAAGCGTGCAGCAATATCTCGCTTGTTTACTGAACAATTGTTTAAGGGTACACCCTAGGTTCCCCCTCTCATGCGTCCCTCGTACCCGGTCCCTGAAGAAGACACCGACCGCTAACCGCCAATAGATATGCAATGTTCTTCAACGCCCTCGTCCTGTCTATATGCGCCCGAACCGTGTCGCCATGAGTGATGGGGGAGGGAAAGACCGGAATAGTTGATCGTTACTACACGAGCGCGGCTAACAAGCTACTATCATCTGCCTGCGGTCCCTTACATGGCGAATCTTTGCGATGGCCTTTCGGTGGAGAAGATAGAACGGGGACGGAATTGTCGATGGGGTTAGAGGATAGGAACCGAGGAGACTTAGGATGAAGGAGAGGGATCAGACAGATTAGAGGATATGGTGTTAAGCCAAGCGATTGAAGTTCTCAACCGCAGTTATGCCCACAACCGATGCTGAATAGTGCATACTGGCGGATGCTATCTCACATACCTCCCCCCTTGCCCTCCCTAGTCATACAATAACCCACCCACCACATATGATCCATCCCCAAATCCCCACCGCTAGCAAATATAGAACATGTCCCTACCTCAAAATAGCTTCCCCAAAAATGGTGCTATCACGGGTATATATAAACCCACGATCATACCTCCTTTTGCACTCTTCTCCCTCGCAGCTCCACCTCGCCAATCTAGACGAACACCGCCAAGAAACCCCATCCGATATATTGGCCTCCACTACGCCATGAAACTATAGATTCACGCTTAAATGCTTAACCATGGTCAAGAAAAATGAACTCCACTGTGATAGCAATAGTTTGCCTAAAGTGGGTCTAGAGAGAAAAATAAAGTTGGGAAAAAGAAATATGCGACACCTCTGGGACTCGAACCCAGGCGGGCGAACCCACAGGCTAATCAGCTAGTACGAAGATGTAGTAGCAGGCCTGCGCCTTAAACCACTCGGCCAAAGTGTCTAGTTGTTATGTTTAGTGCACAGTTGTTTTGATACTTGAGGGACATATATTATCACGTGGAAGTGTCTATGAGTTAATGTGTGCCTTTCGGAAAAGAAATATAATTATGTTCAAGTTGATTGAAATAAGAAGATAAATATATACTGGATAAAGATAATATTGTCCAATTGTCAAGTACAGACTCGATCAACAAGAGCAGAAACAGAAACAGAAAACAAAATAGCAGATGGAAAACAGAACACGCAGAAGCGATCTAACGATCCCACACAACAGCGGGCTCTCTAATTCAATCCATCTACAACATAATCATAGCGATTCCGCTAGCAACAGCAACGGCCACGTAAACAGCGAGCTGGAAGTAACCGACATGGACAGCCTTGGCACCACCGGAAACGCTGGAGCCGGAAGTCGACGAGGCAGTCGAACCGCTCGATCCAGCAGTGGCAGTAGCGTCAGAAGTAACGAGACCCGTGCCGGCGGTACCAGCCTCGGACATGTAAGTCTTGCAAGAACCGGTGGCGGAGGTAGCAGACTTGGTGGTAGCGGAGCCACCCCAGCTGCAAGCAGAGGCGGAGTTACCGGCGGACTTCTGCTTCTCGTAGTACTCGTTCAGGACGAAGACGAGCTGCTGCTTGCTGTTGCACATGCTGTAGGCGCCGTACTTGCCGGTGGTGCCGTTGCCGGTGATACCAGTGCAGGACATCATACCGCAAACCTCGCCCATCAGATCACCGATGTCGTCGGAGTCGAGGGAGTCCTTGACGGTGCAGGTGGCGGCGTCAACCATGCACTCACAGAGATCAGCGTCGGGAGTCGGGGGAAGGGGAGAGGCCTTAGCCTTCCAGGAGGAGTCCTCGGTAGGGCAGCTGCGGAGGGCGGTGTTGGTGGGGGTGTAGGAGGCCTTGTTGGTGCTGCTGGGGGTGGCGCTGGCGATTTCCTTGGAGTAGTAGCTGAAGTCAGTCATGGTGCTGACGCTGGTGCTGTCGATGACGGAGACCAGACCTGTAGATTGTTAGATTGAATATGTCAAAATTGCGAAGAAAGGAGAGGACGTACCATAGTCGTTGGTGTCCTGGAAGTACTCGTAGACGATACCGCCAGACCAGACCTGGGACATGGTGTCGCCATAGAGGGCCGCAACTTCAGTGAAGGTACGGGGAGTCACACTGTTGCAACCGTACTCGGAGAAGAAGACAGGAACGGAGTAGTTGGCGAATTCCTCAGTACGGGCCTTGTATCCGGATTCCGCGTAGGTCGAGTCACCGCACCAGGAGTAGATGTTGTAACCGAAGAAGTCAATGCCGACGGACTCCGACTGGCAGTTAATGTAGTCGGCCAGGTCATTACGGATGGAAGAAACGTCAGCGGTAGCGTATCCCACACCAATAGTACGGTATCCCTTGTTGCTGATGTAGGTCTTCATATCACGGATGGCAGCCTTGACGTACGGCATGGCCTCAGTGGTTCCAACACTGTTGGCGATTTCATTACCAGCAAAGAAACCAAGAGTGTTGTTGTAACCGGCCATTGCGTCGATGACGCTGGTGTAGCGGTTATAGAGGGTGAGCTGCCAGGCAGGGTCACTGCGGTCGATGGCAACGCTGGTGTTGGAAAGATCAGCAATAACGTAGATGCCTGCATCAGCGAGAAGCTGCATGCAGTCATCGTGGTCGGCCGTAGGGTCAATGTCGTAGGTACGAATGACGTTGGTGCGGAGCTCCTTCATGTAGGGGATGTCACGCTCGCAGGTGGTCTTGGTACTCAAGGGGTCGGCAGTGGTGCTCTCTGTTTTGGAGTATTAGTTTTGAACGTTATTTCAGGAGGTTGGCTACCGACTCTGATACGCCACACCGCGAAGGAAGCTAGAAACATGTTAAATTTGATCGTACTGTGGAAGTATCTTCGGATGAATACTTACAATTGAGTGTCATTGCTGGAGTAGAAGAACTTGGAACCCTAGATGGAATGAGAATTGAAAATGCTATAAGAGAAGGACACAAGACAGGTTCATACCTTGATTTCGATGGGGTCGACGGCGAGCGCCGAGCTGGCGAAAAGGGCTGCACCAGCAGCCAGATGGGAAAGTCTCATGGCGATATGCTTTATAAAATCGAACAATTGGCGAATACAAACGAGAGTACTGGTATATAAACAAGAACCGCAAAACGAAAGAAAGTCTAATGGACAGCAAAAGTTGAGCTTGGGTCTACCAATGCTTGACTATTAACGAGAGTGGGAGTTTGGTACAACTTCATCACCCTCCGCGACCAAGAGGGCTTTTGTAGAAATGCTGCCGCACCTGTGGAGTCCTGGATCCAACTTCCCACGGCCAAGAAAACCGTCTATGCTTTCATCCCCTTGATTCCACGAATAGGTGGTGACGCGTCAGAGGTCCGCGAATACCCCACGCAGCCATCGCCAGTATAGATAGGAGTCATTGCTGAATCCCCACCCAGTCTGGTCCGAACATATAAGTCAAGCCTTTTCGCCACGACGCAGACTCTCATCTGAGAAGAGACTTCCAACTTTCCATTTCAATGTGTTGACTCCGTACCGGGGCTCCCGAGCTCTGTATTCGTGGAAGCGAAGCCTGAATGGGATAGGGCTTCTTGGTATAGGAGAACATCACGTAAGTGCATGCGTATGAGAACGGCACTAGCCGAGAACCTTAGGTGGTCAATCCAATCAATAAACGGTCGTCTAGATATTTGGCTGCCTGCCGACCCACTTCGGGAGATGGGCAAGCGTCAAATCCTGCCATGGTTACTCGGTTTCGCTCCCGAAGAACAATTCCAATGCCGTCGCAAAATGAAGTCTATCTTATCGTTTCTAACTTCGCCCCCATCCACGACGGATCCTTGACTAGATTCAAGCTCAAAGTGGAGGAATCCAGGGCACATTGTCAGTTGAAAGAATACTATTTCTGGGTAAAGACTTGGAATTGCAAGGAGACTGAATGGGTTTTAAATGGAACGTGCACTCGGCCCGGTGGACTCAGCCATTATTGTCGCCGCCGACCAATGCGGAAACCACCTCCGAATCAAAGTTTCTCCCGAAGTCTGAATTAGCAGTCTTCCACGATCGTTCGATATGGCGAACTTAGCGAGTCATGCCTGCGCCTCCTACGTGGCGAATTGAGCGCTTGCCTGTGCACTTGATCGTCCTGTATTCATGCCATCTACATCATGTTTTCGTAGGTGAGAAAAGTCAATTGAGTTTTCGAGACTCGCCTAATGCTCTGCCAGGATTGCAGTGGGTTATCCCAGATTTACATTCTGCAGAGCCATATCATGGAATAGACATCATCCGAGATCCACCAGATTTGACCCGCCGATCCTTCACTTCTTTTTCTCGGTCCGCTTCCAGATTTATATCACGTGAACAACTGTTAATCGTACTAAGCGGCTGCTGAATCATCATCCCCAACACGTGGTTTTCATAATGTATCACATGATTTATACACACCCTAATCCCATTTGGGCAAAGCATCGATCAGCTCGAAATCGAATGTCGATGGAAGATGGCCCCCAACGAGCTGTGCCAACATGGTTTAGTATCACCCAGCTGACCGGGCTGTGAATGAGACAGGAGTTCCCAATTATACCTGTTCGCACCATTTGGCCCCATTGACTGCTGTTTTACATTGGCTGCATGAGCTCCTGTTCAAGCTCCTGTGACCTATCGTAAGCCAGGCCTTAGGATCTACCTGATCCTTAATATATCCCAGGATCTAAAACCGGGCTTGGCTGGCTCACTGTTGGCTGATGCAAGGCTGTCTATGGGAGTTGCAGAGAGCTGCCCATCATGCAGTGTACCTACATAAAACCGCCCTTTTCCCTGGGTGATTTGCATCTTACTCGTGTGTCCCTAATATTGCTATCCTAATCCTGTGCTGCGCACAGTGTCATTCCTTCACAGCTCAATTGCTCTTTTACTCTGACGAGACATATCACTCTTTTCTGTGCCGTCAATCACATTCCTTCTTTTTTACCAGCTCATCCGTCTTGGCAGCAATATGGTCTCTGTCTCAAAGCTCGTCACTGCTGCCCTGGTGGCAGTCTCAGCCGCAGCCTCCTCCAGCAAGCGTGGTGCAGCCTACAACGATGCGTCACTTGTCCGTACCCTGGCGAAAAGCAAGTCTGGAGGTATGTCGTGGTCATACAATTGGGACATGAAGAAGAACGGGAACATGCCATCGGGCGTTGAATTCGTCCCGATGCTCTGGGGTACCGACTCGGTGGATGACTGGGATTCTGCGGTAAAGACTGCATTGAAGGATGGCAGCAAACATATCCTGGGTTTCAATGAACCGGACAACGCCTCGCAGGCCAACATTGGTGCCTCCAAGGCTGCTACCTTGTACAAGAAGTATATCACCCCGTACGGAGATCGCGCCAAGCTAGTCAGTCCGGCCATCACTTCCTCCACTCAGTCCGGCGAGGGTCTCAGCTGGTTCAAGACCTTCATGAGCGATTGCAAGAGCTGCAACATCTCTGCTATGGCTGTCCACTGGTACGGTGGGTCGTTTGCTCAGCTCGAGTCGTACATGAAGGAAGCTATCGAGACTGCCTCGAAGTATGATATCGACGAGGTCTGGCTTACCGAGTTTGCCCTTGACACCGACACCAGCGGCATCAGCAACGAGTCCACGGCTAAGACCTTCCTTGAGAAATCGATCAAGTGGATGGACTCCCACCCCAAGGTGGGCCGTTACGCTTACTTCTATACCGCAAACAATTTCTTGCTTACCAGTGGATCCGTCAACGCCCTGGGCAAGGTTTATGTTTCGACCTCTTCGTCTTCTTCTAGCTCCGAGACCTCGTCGACTAAGTCTTCGACCAAAACTTCAACCAAGACCTCGACGAAGACTTCTACGAAGACATCGACCAAGACTTCCACAAAGACCGCATCAAAGACGAAGACCACAGAAACTTCCAAGTCCACGAGTACCAAATCCGCCCACACGACTAAGACTGCAGAGAAAACGAAGACGGTCAAGACTACCAAATACGTCACGTCCACCAAGACTGCAACACACACCAAGACTGCTTCTATTACGCCGCAGGCTGCCTGGAGCTCGGTGCCCACGAAGTCCGCATACGGATGGTAGGCTGCTGTTTGCCTGTCACATGTATAGTCGGATATTTTGTTGAGTTCTGGACCTCATGCTCCACGTTCTGTTTTCATTTGGCTTTCTTTCGCTTCACTCATGTATTCTTTAGCTGCTTAGCGCAGATATTGGCTGCTAATATGAGATATATTCTCATGCTATTACGTTCACTCTACTATAAAGCTGTTGATGGCACTCTTGGTAGTATCGATATAGATCAAGAAGCACATGCGATAAATTAGCTGCCAGGTTATCCTGCATACTCTTTATCACTGACCAATAAGACGAGATCCACCTCTTGAGTTAGCTCCGACCGAGGAGTCAAGGGCGTATTTTCTTGGCGTGACAATCATGGATCTGCAAAGTCGCCCAGAAGTTTATCTGGCAGCCACTACGGAGTGCGATCGGGTAATCATGACCATTTGCTTTAGTATCTTAGCACTGCTTTGCATAACATGAGTTGAAAGCATTTTTCAAGAACAAGGGACAATGGCGCATCTGGGAGCGCGTCAGACTGAAGATCTGGAGGTGGCCGGTTCAAGCCCGGCTTGTCCCATTCTTTTTTTTCTTGTTTTTTTTTTTTGGTTTCCTCTCGGGTAGAAAGTAAGACAGCTCCACTATGCCATGTCGCCTATGCATTGGTCCGAAACTATATCCTCATTGAGGAATTGCTAATGCACTTGACCTTACCTGCGGGACCAATTTGGTGTGTTGATTTAATTTCAGTGGAATAGCATGCCGCCGTAGAAGGATGAACACCACATCTAGAGTAGCCAATCTTACATTGATTGATCCCGGCAGCCATTTTTGGTTCGTGGTGAAATCGCTCCCTAGATACGATATATCCTTCTCATGACACAAGCCTACTTATATAGTACATATAAGCGTAGATCATAGTCGAATACCCATGTCCAGCTCAACTGGATTACTGGGGTATTCTACCTTCCCACGACAAACATGTATATTCCTCGCATCGCCAACCATATCCACATCCCCAGGCGACAAAGACTCCAACAAAACCCTGGCATACGCCGCAGCAACCATAGCAGCATATTCTTGCCAATCCTTATTCTTCCCAGAGTCTGCATAGTCACAGATCCCTCTAACAACAATACACGGAACCAGATCCATCACCCCAGCTGCCTCCATCTCCACACATAGTATACCTTCCTCAAATCCCTTATTAAGAGCATCGCGAGCTTTCGCATCCTTGACAACAAAATTGCCGGAGGCGATTAGGCCGTAATGAACATGGACTTTCCCTCCTTTCTTCTCCTTTGCGCCCACCATCTCCTCCTTGCCCATCCCCGCCTCAAACCCAAACCCAAACCCAAACCCCATCATCGCCAAACCCCATAAGCCAAGCAACCCTACAACACCCGCAACGACCACCTTCCACAACAACCACACCACTGAATTCAGATAGGAATACATCCACCACCGTTCCAACAGCGGATCCCTCAACCCATCACTCCGTGTCCACCTCGGTACTAATCGCGGAAACCTCCCCTCCACATCATCCAAACACCCATCGATCTTCCGTGCAACCATCTCGCTGTTACGCTTTAACCCATCCAACACCCTCTTCACACCCAACCCTACCCCTACCTCCTCCTTCACCCCCAGCCCGCCCCCATCCTGACCAAGAACAACCCTCCCATCCCCCACCAGCATTCCTCTATCCCATCCCACCACACCCCCATACCCACCACTAACCGGCACACTAACAACCACATCACCCAACCGTACCCCATTCCTCGGAACACCGCCCGCCACTCCAACGAGCAGAACGAACCTCATAGATGGGAACGTGTGCAGAAGCGATGTCACTGCGCTCGCGGCGGAGGTTGTTCCCATGGTGGGGAGACATATTAGGACGATGTTGTGCGGTGGTATGGTACCGAGAGTGTAGGTGTTTTTGTCGCTTGTGGGGGTTGGGATGTGGTAGTGGTGGATAGTGTCGAGGGTGGCGAGCACGGCGGTTTGTTCTTTGGGGAGCGCGGTGATGTAGGCGATGGTGTAGGTGTGGAGGGGTGGGAGATTCTCTTTTGATTCTGTGGGTTGGGGCATTGTGAGGGGGTGTGTGTTTAGTAGTCATGGTGGTGGGGTTGTGGTTATATGAATATTTATATAGTAGGTGTGGGATGCATTGGGACGGGTGCCTGAAGCATTTGGGAACTTTTGGCAACGTAGTTCAAAATTGTGTCGGGTTCTCGTTGGCAAGCGGTTATATATGCTGTATGGTTGGTGGATAGGTGTCTGGTGGAGGGTTAAGCGCCGAGTGCTGAGGTGGACGGGTAGCTCATATGGTGACGCCGGCTGAAGGGATGTAGGATGAGGCTACGATCTAGCCTTGTCTTGGCTGCAGCTGTCACGGTCTAATGCAAGGATGAGTCGGCGCAGGTTGTAGGATTAGTGTTGCGTTCAGTAGAGGTGTCTGCTGTTATGAATGGAAGAAACAGGCTTGTCACTATTACGTAGATAGGTGATACATGCTTGAAGCTATGCTGTAGGAGGCAGGTCCCTACCCAGCAATGTACAACACTCTGTCCCGCCAGACACGAACTTGATTCTAGGTAAAACTTGATAGAGAATCGGAGCAAACTGCAGATGCGATTGCGAACAAGGTATGGATTTAATGAAATTAGACACTACACGATGGGATATTGATACACAACACCGGGGACAGCAATAGCCCGGGGAAAGGGAAACAAGAAAACATGCATAAGACAAAACAGACAGCCACCCTAACCCCCAAGAAAATCCTTCCCAGCACCCCTTCGTCTCATATCTATGGGCTCCGCACTATCTCCAAACAATGAGACACGCTCGAATCATCATCCGCCGGGCGCGGGCACCCTATCTCACCCTTTGGCTTTTCCAGCGGAAGATTTATAATACGAGGTTGGAACTTCGGCTGCAACTCCTTCATATCCCTTCTGCCCCAGACATATCCAGCCCCAAGCATAGCCACGGCTATGCATGCCAATGGTAGTCCAACACCGAGTCCGATCGCGAGCCTCTTCGATTTTTCAGAATCGGATTGATCCGGTTCGCTGTTGACGCCGCTGCTACCGTCACCCAATGGGGATCCAGTTCCTGTTGTTGTGGGTGCAGAGGTAGAAGAACCATCGGAGGCGGAATTGGAGTCGGAACCAGACTTGGAGTTGGAGCTAGAGCCGGAGTTAGAGTTAGAATTCGAATCGTCATTAGAAGAAAATTTGAGGAGTGTTGAATCAAGGGTAAATGTCTCGTATGTGTTGCAGCAGGCAGTGGTACTGCCGCAGCACCAGGATCCGTCGCCGCAGTTGGTCAGTTGGTAGGTCCAGTCGGAGTTTCCTCCATTCTGTCTCTATTATCAGTTGCCAGTTCATCTGATAAAGATAGGAAGAGACTGACCTGATTACCACAGATGTCCTTCGGTAAACAATTCGTCGAATTCCACGATTGATCTGTGCAGAACTCCCGATAGTATGTTCCTCCACTTGTCTGACAAAGTCCCGAGGGATCACACGTATCTGGATCCGCATCATTGAGTTTACAGCACATCGAATGTACACCCGAGATGGAGACGCATGGCTGGTATATGGAGCTGTCCACTTGTGAGCCATCCGGTGCATAGCATGATGATGATGCTGCTGCTGCCAGAGAAATATAGCTTGGGATGAGGGCCCAGAAAGTGCCCGTGTTTATCTTCATTGTGACTGTCTGATGGTGATTTCAAAAAATCGGGTGAGATACACCCTATAGAAAATTAAAGAAAGAAAAAACTAAGATAAGTTGACAGAACTCCAAGTTCCGGCTAACAGAGGGATTTAAACATAAACCGACCCTGCATCTGCCTCGCGAGACTTTGTGTAACGGTGCGGATTCCTTACCCGATTTACTTGTTCCCGTCTAGGAAATTGTGGGGACTATCTTATTGAGGGAGATGCTTAAGTGACAGGACACCCTTGGGGATATAAGTAGAGGGAGGATCTGACTGGCCCTTCGCTGTTGACTTTCTGGTACCGTGGTTTGGTGGTAGTCTTTAAAGAGAATTTGACAGAATCCCTTGATACCATACTCGAAAGAAAGAACTGGGAAGACTCCATGGTGGTGAGCCCGATCGGCAAGGCAGGAATGTTATGGTGTTGTGCAGAAACCGGGACAGGATTTGTCAACTAGAACCACTGCATTGGTGGGCTCCTTGGAGGTGCAACATCCTGCTGAACATGCTATAGTCCGCTCGGTTATTCCTATTTACCATGTTAGCTACGAAAGACTGGCAGGGGAAGGTGAACCTGCATACTGAGCAACCTGCAGGATTGGAGCTGGAGTGCACTAAGTCAGTGTTAGTTTCTCACAACAACATGAACAAACTCCACCAACGGTGCTGCTGTCAGGCCCACACCCCTTGGCAACCGTTGCATTCCAGGGCGGGTATGCAGGTCCCAGGGGTGTGGTTGGGGAGCGGAAAACAGTTCCCAGATAAACCCCTTGTTTCACTGATGGCCACGGATGGACTTCCGAGATTACAAAAAAAATCCTGGAGTGCATACCAATCAAGGGATCAAGGATAGAGGATAATTTTCTTGCCAGGAAATCAGACAATAGGGAACTACCAGGGAATCACTCCGCTCTCACAGACCCTCGAAGGGGTTGCAATTTTACAAGGATTGTCCACCCCCTTCGTAGTGGCAGTCACCCCCCTTATACTTCGTTAAGCTACTGCTACGATGCCTAGAACATTATCGTGTGATCCATCATAATTATGGTCGGCTCTTAAAAATCATCAATTCAATATAATTATGTAACATATTCTCTGCCATTCATCCCACCCCTATGTCCAACAAGGAAAGCATTATCACTTTTCCTCCCTGAGAGACGGCGGAATGCCCTCATCCGCCAAGGCCTGCATATCATCCTCACCCATAGCACCATCCCACCCCTGCGATACCAGGTAGGCCCGGAATTTCTCATCACGGATTCTCAAATCCTCACCCGAAATGTCCGGAACAAAGAAATAAGTCACCAAAATTCCCACAATACCACAGATAGCCGCAATGATAAACGTCCACTTCTTACCCAGATTATCTTCAATGGGAGTGAACGCTTGGGTACCAATAGCAGCGCCTGCTTTCCCCACAGCCGCAGACAATCCATAGCACGTACCCCGAACACCGGTGGCGTACAGCTCCGACGAAAGTAAGCCGAGCATGTTGCCTGGGCCAAAGTTGCCCGAACTCTGCATGAGTCCGTAGAAGACCACAAAGAGTGGGATGATCTTGGTGATTCTCTCAAATGCACAGCCGATAATCAGACCGAAAATGAGGTAGCCGCCGAATCCGATCATCATTACGTTTTTGCGACCGAGTCTGTTGCAGAAGAGAGCGCCGAGGAAGACACCCGGGAGGGAAATGGCTCCGAGGAGGAGCTGCCATTCGCCGGTTTTGAGGATCGAGTCGTCTCCGACCACGGAGGAGATGATGCTGGCGGAAAAGACGCCGTTGGGGAAGGTGACGAAGTCTGTATAAGGTTAGATGTGATTGATAGATCAGGTGATGGTGAAGGGTACGTACCGTAGAGGAACCAGGCACCACAGGTTCCAATGAGTGATTTCCAGTAATAGCGAATCACCAGGCCATATGGAACTTGCTTCTTGATGGCCCCGCGACGATAGAGCGCCGAGTTCAGCATGCGCCACCGGAAGTAGAACACGGAAAGAGGCCAGATGCACCCGATACCGAAGCAGACGCGCCAGACGGTGCTGTAGTGGGATTGCTGGCATGCTGAGAATACAATCAAGAAAACCAGAACAGCAAAGGGACCACCAAATGACAGCGGAAAGTTTGTCACCATGATGAAGGCTGGACCGCGCTGCTTCAAGGTCAAGTCATTGGCGGTTTCGGATGCCGAAACTGACGATGCGGGATATTCACCACCGGTCCCTGAGATAATCAGCACTCATTAATCCAGCGTACCGGAAGGATTTGCACCTACCAAAGCCAATAATACCACGTGAAACTGTCAGCATCCAGAACATGCCGTTGATAGTGACACCGTGTGATGCGGTGGCCAAGATACCGCCGATTACGATCATTAGAGTTGTGAAAACCATGGCAGCTTTGCGTCCGATGTAGTCGCATGTTAATCTAGGCGTAGAGTTAGCAAGTCTCTCTATGTGTGTGTGAAAAGGATGCCATAGACAAACCCGATCACAATCTGACCAATAACTTCCCCAACAAGCAGGGCATTTGATACACGTGTCGATACAGCCGAAACGTATTGTTTGGGGTATTCTGCCTTTAGAAGCACATTGGTCATAGTCCTGCATACCATCAGCGGGGTACATCGGCCCATCGTTTGCGGGGTAAGTACATGAGGTTATTTTGGTACCCATCGCTGATGAGGGCGAATCCACTAGCAAGCTAGAAACATTATCAGTAACATTGTCCATGCAGATATTGAATCAAAGTAATTTTGCAGCTAAAGAAGGAAACTAACAATGGTCAAAAAGTCAGAGAGACTCTGTTTCTTGCGGGACACCTCAGCCGAAGGATCAGCGTCGGAGGTATCGACGCCCTGGACGTGTGTCTCCAGGACGCCGACATCCTTCGACTGAGAATGTTCCCACGAGTTCTCAGTAGACATCGCAATAGTGCAAAGAAAAGAACACCAGCGGGAGATGGATTTGAAAAAAATCTCATTGCACTGCAGGAGGATGAGCACGAGGGCAGGTTTTTATTTAGGCGTGTAGCCTATTCTCACTAGGATGGTTACATGCGTATGCAAGCGTGACTACCAATCAGAAGCCGGTCGCAATAGAATCTCATCCTTGTTATCATGCGTTCATGCAATTGGCGCATCAGATAAAGCTCGGTGGAGCCGAACCAATCATTGCCGCATGCGGGTTCACGTGCGTGGAGCCGTGGATAAGATGCGATGCTCATTGAAGCGCACCATTTAATCCACGTTGATACCAAGCACTATTTGACTGGTGCTTGGCTGGTAGGGCTTCCGATGAGATTTCTTGTCTGGGATTCCGACAGACGGAGTGGGACGGATTACCTGTTTTTTCTCGGACTTACCCAATAGGGACGGAGTTTTGCCGCTTCACCGGCACGTGGTATAGAAGCTTTCGTAGGGCTGATGCCCAAGGCAACACGTGCTCTTTGTAACAGCACTGAGTAGAAGAACCATAGTACTCTGCCATGACTCAAGGAAATGGGTCTAGTGGCTGTTGGTGTGATGGTGAAACAGATGAAAGCTCGCATGGTTATGTGGGACCTTAGCAGTCACTATCGGGATGACTAGGATGACTTTGCAATAGCCGTGATTTTAACCATCTGCCACTGCCAGCGTCGCCTTCGCCAATGCAGAACAGGTTATACTGGCTGTAACTCACTTGGGCAGTCGGTCTGTTTTGGGACGGCTTAATGTTTCAACGGTCCCTGATGCTTACATTTATGAAGAAATGGTCGCGTCTTCTTTTTCTTACCCTAGCTCCTTCAAGCTTCGAGGATAACAAATCATTGTATATAGCTCAATCAGCTTGGGTACACAACTTCCCCTTGAGATTAGCAAGAACAACAGCCGCGTAAGCCAGATCCCGCGCCTCCGAAGCCCAATGGGTCAAAGACCTTATCGCCTGGTCTAACAAGTCCGGCCAATCCGCCAAATAGTCCACAAGTCCCTTGTCCGCCTTGACAGCTGCAATGATTAACAGGGCCGAACTGAGTACACCGCGGGCGACAAACCAGGTCCCATGATGTCGGTGCTGCGTCGCCTTGGAGTTGATCATATGGAAACTGCACTCGATAGCTTTCCGCATAAATTTCTTAGCCTCCTCATTCTCATTAATCTGCTCACCATCATGATGAATTGCGTAGTATACAAATGGCCGATAGAGCCACGATCTCAGCTGCAGAACCCGTGCTTGCAGGTTGTACGTTAGTTCAAACCTGGGTGCTGAGTCCCATTCTTCGAAGTGGATTATGGATGGTCGGTTTCTGGACCTGACGTCGGACACCAGGCAGTCAATAAAAGAATATATGAGAGCCCCTTCCCCGTTAACAAAGATAGAGTTTCGTTTCTGGCAACTTACCAGTGATCTATTTGGGATTCGAGATCCGCGGCTGTCCGGCACATGTAAGATAGGTTGGCAGGAGACCATTGCGAGTCGTTAGTGCTGTACATAAAGTTAAGTATTTGCGCTTCTACGCGCATGAGTGCAACATCTGATAAGTAGTAATACGTGGACAACTTCCAGAGGTGTGACAAGTCTTCTGAGTCTGTTGGCGTCCCGGACAGCACTGCTTCGGAATCGGTCGCGCTTGCGGACGAGGGTATTGGGTACCCGTCGGATACGTTGAACTCACACAAAATCGAATCGGGTATGTTGAGCTCCGCGCGTAAGTCACTGAATAGATAACAAATATTAGCCTCAACCTAGACCGAGAGGTTACTCAAAAGAGACTGGCAGAAGAGGAAAGAAGGATAAAAGTCACCATTCTGACTTCCAGCATGTCCAGTAAAGGCTCAACTCTGCCGGATCTAAATGCCTCCCGTTCGAGTCATTACCCACAGCTGCTTCCCTGTGTTGCAAGTGGAGGCTCAGAATGGCGGATGCTCGAGAAAAATCCATCCATGCTCTAGCGGCATTTAGCTTGTACATCTGGTAGACCCCGCTAAGAAACCAGCATTGCGTGGTCAGAATACGATCGCCGGGTAGGGAGAGCCTCTCCAATGCTTTTTGATAGAACTGCTCTCCTGTAGCGCGAAGTGATTCGGCATGGTCATCACGTTCTACCGAGCGATCATCATATCGGAGTGGACCTGCTAAACAGCCTAAGGCGCAGGCGAGGAACTTGGAAAGACATTCTTAGCGTGGCTGTGAGATCGGAGGTGATGGCGACTGTCTATTTTGCATAGCAATTCTGGGGAGGGTGGGATCCATTCACACACCACTAAACAGGAATGAGCGTTCCGAGAGGACTCGCCCACTTCGACCCTGACAGCCGATTGACGTAGGACAACCGTATTCACCACGGGATTCTTAACGTGCACGAACTGCAGGAAGCGGTCAATGAGATATGGTATGAGGGCCAAATCCACATCGGTGCTGGCAACTTCTTCAAGAACATGATCGTGGTCCGCAAGAGTGAGACTATTTAAAGTTGTTTGCAAGCGAACCTCTTTGAAAATCGGCCATGATAAAATTGCATCAGGACATATTCTGGCTGCAGGGATCTTCAGAGACACATTCTGTGGCATTTGTGGGCTTAAGTCAGCCATGTACTGTTTTAGCGGCCCTTTTGAAGGCAGGGCCGCCGTCACCCCTTCAGGATTTATGGAATTGAGAGACTGCTGGATTTCGGTTAAGCGATCGAGAATTGCAATGGTGGCGGGATCGAATCTAGTAAGCGTTATATGTGAACATGTTGTAGGAAACGTATATCCACACACGTGTGTAAACACATGCATTTATGTGTGTGTAGTAAATAGAACTTTGGGGGCAGAAGCAGCATACTTTGAGAAATCTACATGGTCTTGATATACGCAATGCGACTCAGAGAGCTGGCACGAAGAGCAGGTCGGACGAGCATTGTCGCATTTGATCTTTCGCGAGCGACAGACCCTACATGCTGCCACAGCCCGCTTGCGAGTGAAAGCTCTCGCTTCTCGCTGAGACACCCTGTATTTGCTGGTACGTGATGTCATCCTTCACTCTCCCGAAAGTGCGAACGTACCTCACCAAACTCCAAGCTCGGATGGGACGAAGTGGAGGCTAAGTACTAAGGATCTACGGCAGTGATAAGGTCTAATAGTCAGATTGGCCAAACACGGTTAGGAAGCCTTTGTTTATTCCTAATTAGATCTTCCGTTCCCCTTATCTTATCCCTTCCCGATTACGCTTCAAATTTACACTGCGAAATGGAATCTCCCCTACTGCCCCTGCCAGTCGACTTCTGCGTTCTAGATTCTGCCTGAAATTCTAGCATGCTCTAAGAACATGAGGGTTTCTACATCCATCTTCAATTTCCATATGTTTCATCTACGTTTCATTTTTAGAAAGATTAAGTTCTTGTTGTATTAGAAAGGGTTGTCCACTAAAAATATGGAATCCATTATTCACAAGAACTGTACGCAGCACCAATTTATCGTACCTCAGTAGGTTACCCATCTTAGCTAGTCCGTTGACACAGAATGAGATGGAATGATAGATGCTGTATTATCATCTCCAAGCGCACCGAAATTGGCTAACTGACATGCCAAGACAAGAGGACAACCGATGCAATTGCCCTGCGGTTATTGGCTAGTGGGCAAGATTCTCTGGCCAGGGAGTTCCAGGGGCAATTTCAGACCATTTCATTTCGGCGGAAGTCAGGTATTGTATGCTTGTCTCGCGTCGTGGCACCAACGAGCCCAGCTCGTGAGGTATGGTCGCTGGAAATGAATCGTTGAGCTGCTGCAAAACAGCCCAGGAAGCTTGTGCATCGGGGTCATGATCCTGGGTATCGTGTAGGTCACTGATGCCTAATGTGTGGTACAAAATAGGGTGCTTCTGGTAGTCAACATTGTTGTCCATGGCGGCTACAATACGCATCAGAGGATCGTATATGAAGCAGTAGCCGACCGACGGCATCAGGACATATGCGCCGCTGTTGAGGGCATAAGAGCCAGCGCCCCTGGTCACGAGGGAGGCATTGTAGAATATGCTATCGGTGTCGTCATCAAAATCTAGGGCAAAGGGCCATGCACCAATATGGAGCTTCGGGCGCTGAGCAGCCATGACGAAATTCATGCTTGGATAGAAGTGTCTGTCATAATCAGTCAGCAACTTGGTTATATACACACCGTCACTATAGAATTTGAAAGGAAACAGGGAGGGCCATACTCGCCACACTGAAGCATGCCAACACGACCCAGTGGGGTGTTCACCACTCTGAGCTGGTCGACCGTGCCATCGCTAAACATATCCCGTTCTGAACCAGATGGTCTCAGTTTCCGACGATGCATGACCACCTCGCCAGCTTCGGAGATCAGTGCCTGGGCCATATAGATATGGTTTCCAGATCTTTCGGAAAATGCGACAGCAGCCCAGATACCCACGGACTTGATCCCATCAATCAACGTATCCCACTCGTGACTCCCAATTTCCAGGGAGTTCTCAATGTAGGAGGCCAGATGTGTTTTCTTCCAGTCATTCTGTTCCCTCCATTTGGGAAATCTGCGTAAGTAGAGTTAGTGAAATGTGTCATGCGAGGTAAGAGGGCACATGAAGGAAACAGACCCAGGGAACCAGAGTTCAGGAAACGTGATCAAGGTGGCACCAGCGTCTTTGGCTTCGCGCATTAGGCGTAGACCAACTTCAATAGTTTGTGAAATGTCGATATCTATACCAGTCCAGTCGCGGTTCTGCAAAGGAAGCGGCCAGTTTGGCGGCGGGCAGCGCACAAGGGCCACCTTCATCTTTTGAGATTCAGCTATGTATGCAGATCTATTGATGGTGGAGTAGTGATGAGGGTGATTGTACTGGAAAGGCTGGGTTGAAGTATGGCTGTAATCTCATGGGTATTTGTATCTCTATCTATGCTTCGCCATCACTAGTCCCCGGTCATTTGAAACTAAAGTATAGTAGCTAGGATATAGTATTTGTTGATGGGTTCGGGGAGTCACGGAGCTGAGGTGAATTTGACCCACTTTTGTCAATGTCGACGTTGTACTCTTAGCGCATACTCCGCAGTCCGAGTCCTTATCAGTCCACTTTGGTGTCATCAGATAATGACTTGCTTAACGCCGCAACTCCCCGATTGGCTAATGTTTTATCAGTCGCTAATTCGATGGTCTATTACATGGAGCATCCGTCCCTACTCTACAAATAGAATTGGGATGGTCTCAAAAATGGCCAAGAGACTTTGGATTTGTTGCTGTAAGTTATCATCAACTTCGCATATTCATTCATGGGGCAATCCAAAGATAACCCGACCGCCAACCACCTCTCTGATATTGGGGCGGACTTGGAGGACGGAATGCTGATAGCATCACCATTTCCATGGACTGCACCTCATCTGCTGAGGCTGAACTTTTGTGCTCTCAGTCTTGTCTTGTTCGGTAGGTGCGCCGTGCTTCCTCAAGATTTAGGATAAGTGGTAACCAGATTCATGGCTAACGGCACCGGTAGCTTCGGCAAATGGATACGACTCGAGTATGATCAATAGTTTGCAGTCCTTACCCCCCTGGGTATCCTTCATGTCAAGCCCCACAGGAGCCTGGCTGGGATTTATCACCATTGTATACTGGATAGGACTGCTTCTAGCTTACACCGTTGCTCCATATATATCCGACCGGTTTGGGCGAAAGATAGGTCTATATATCGGGCTTCTATTCGTGACTGCCGGAGCAATACTACAAGGACTCTCGCCGAATCCGACCAGCTGGATTGTTGGACGTGGTCTGGCAGGGTGTGCAGCCAGCTTTTGGAGTTGTAATGCTCCAGTACTCATCAGCGAGATTGCATACCCGTCGCATCGAGCAACCGTTAGCTCCTTCTATCAATGTGGTTATTATGTCGGAAGCACCCTCGCTGCTTGGATTATCTACGGTATGCTGGGTAACTCTTCCTCATGGAGCTGGCAAATTCCCTCGCTCCTGCAACTCATTCTACCACTTTGTGCACTGCCTGGTCTCCTGCTCTGTCCAGAAAGTCCTCGGTGGCTCCTATCGCAGGGACGAGCTGAGGAGGCCCACGCAATTCTTACAAAGTGGCATGCTGGGGGTGATAGGAACAGCCCACTTGTCTTTCAGCAAATGCATGAGATTCAGGCTGCTCTCAAGATTGAGACCGAGTCTGTACAACACACAAGCTACCTCTATATGCTGAAGACAAAGGCCAATCGTCGCCGTCTCGTAATCACCCTATCCATAGCCCTGTTCAGCCAATGGGGTGGAAATGGGGTTGTCTCGTTTTATCTTACAGAGGTCCTCAAAGCCGTCGGCATCACCAAGTCAAGCGAGCAACTTATCATTACAGCTTGCCTTCAGATATGGAATCTTATCTGCGGAATTAGCGCGGCTCTCCTGGTGGACCTAGTGGGCAAGCGTTCTCTGTTTCACTCATCGGCAATCATCATGACCATCAGCTATATTATGATAACAGCGTTCACGGCGAGCTTTGAAGAACATCATGAACGCTCGGTAGGAACTGCTGTGATTCCATTTCTGTTCATTTATTTTGCTGGTTACGGCATCGCCCTGTAAGCCATCCACCCTACCGCCTACTAAACAAACGCTGTTACTCACTATGCTCCCAGGACCCCGTTACTCATTTCCTATCCTTGTGAAATATGGCAATTTAGTCTCCGTACCCGAGGGCTTAGTATTACATGGATTTCATCCTGTTTGTTTGCCTCCTTCAATTCGCTGGTCAATCCGATCGCCCTCGAAACCATCTCGTGGAAGTACTATTTTGTATTTCTGGCAATCCTTATTGTATATGGCATAACCGAGTACTACATGTACCCCGAAACAAAAGGCCGTTCCTTGGAAGATATCCAAAGGCTGTTTGAGAGCGAAAACCCCGAACCAACGTCAAGCAGGACGACTGACTAAGTGTATGCTCTTTGGCGGAATAACTATGGGGTATGGTCGGCAATGACACTGTCAGACATGTATTCCTGACAATTTCAGCTATATCTACAATAAATAGTAAATCGTATATGATTACTTTTACCTAGCAAATAGGCATTCTATTGTGACAAGTAGATCCTACCACACGCCTAGAAACTAGTTATTGTAGGAAAGGTAGATACAGAAAGCTGACTCTGGTTCAGGATAGCTGCTTTGGGGTCAGAACTAACTATATTTGTACGTCATAGAGCTTATTTGGTATCTGGAACTCTTTGAACCAGAGATATTGTAACCCGGCAACAGTCTTTTCTACCCTCTATGCATCAACATGTAAGCTGGACTACTGTCCAAGAATATAACGAGCAATACTGCCACTTACTCCCAGCCGGATAGCTGCAGCGACATCCTGCTTGAACTTCAGAAGAACCAGATACATATTAGCCGTTTCGGCGAAGCATAAGAGGTACTTGACAATAATGTTTTCTAGCAGTTGGCATGTAAGTTAGTATTGGTGGATATGCTGATATGTTATTGTCCACCTATCCGGGTGTGTCGCACTTATGGGGCACCCACATGTGACGTGGTCAGAAATAACTGCGACAGTGCCAGAACGGAGCTGGAAAATCAGTCCAGTCAAAGTCAGGCAAATCCTGATACTGAAAAGTATTATACATGTAACTTATTACTATATCTGATACCAAATCAGCTCTAAATAAGATTTGGAATTCTCTTTAATGAAGATATAAAACATTCTTAAAATTCTCTAATACCATAAGATACTATAAAAACCACTAAAAGGCCCTAGAGGGTAGTCATAATTGCTGATAGTAAATCAGGAAAAGCTGATATAGAGTGATAACTAACTAGTCTGACACTGAATATCATTACACGTGACAGAGACTGTCCAATATCAGAATTGCTTTGAGCCCAACGCACTAATTTCTGACACCGTCCCAACTGAGACCCCGCACTTATATAATGATATGCTTCATCGGGGGATCACCAAACCGTCTCGGAGATATTTCCAACACAGTGACGGCCATTTTTGTATGAACTCGAACATTCGAACAGAAGCCCTAGTCGACGTGATTAATAACTCTTTTTCCTTATGAGTTGCGTATGGTACTCATAAAACTTATTTTAGTTTATTTTATTTTATTTTTTTTGGATGACACCTTCAGAACCTTATATCAAGATCATCGCTACTACTAAGACTCTCAACCATGACTGTTTGCCCGAACCGCTCGATCGCCATCATCGGCGTGGGATCGACCATGTCTCGCTCGCTTGCCCTTTGGCTCGCAAGTGTAGGATGGAACATTGCCCTCGTGTCTCGCTCTGAGAATAGCCTGTCTAAAATTGCCGACGAAGTCAAAGCCGCCCAGACAAACGCGGACGTCAAAGTGATCTACCGTACCGCTGATGCCGGCAACCCCGACAGCTTGACAAGCACCCTGGACTGGTGTGCTCAGCAGTTAGGTGGCAAGCTGGATGTCTTGAACTATAATGCCGCCCGTGTCGCCCCCTCGCACATCACTAAAGTCACTCCGGAGGAGCTGAATCTCGACCTCCAAGTCTCTGCAGTGGGTACCATTGTCGCAGGCCAATGGTTCACCCGCAACGCCAACACCGACAATATCCCCAAGGGTGAGTGGCCGCTCTTCTTGGTCACCGGCGGCACGCTCGACAGAGAGCCGCAGATTGCCTGCTCTTCATTGTCTGCTGCCAAGGCCGCATCACAAACTATCAGCCGTCTCTTTGCCCAGACGCTCCCGCAGGAGGCACGGGTTGTGGTCGGTATGCCGCTGATCCGCGCACGCATTGTTGACCCGGAAACTGGTGGCTACACCGAGGGCTACCATCCCGATACCATCATCCAAACGGTGTTCAAGCCATTCTTTGAGGATCGTGAGAAGCTGCAGGGTGGAGTGGACAACTGGACCGTGGAGCGTGTTATTTAAATACAGCAGCAACTATGCTGGGATAAGTAAAGTACGTCGGTGATCAACAACCATCAGGCGAAGACAAGGTTCACTCGCAGTCCGTTAACTGCAAGTCATTTTCATCAATATTTATAGTATTAAAAAGTTTTCAAGCGAAAGGACAAAGCCTTTGGAATCTATGCCTTCTTATACTATGCCCCAAATAGTATATGTATACATGTCAGGATCCAGCCTGGTGCGCTTCGGGCAGAGAATTCTCCATGTTCAATTAGACCGAAAGGACTCTTCATTCTTCCTCTATTTGATTATTCGCATTTTGACGTGCTGTTGGGGGCATGATTGGTCGTCATATCCAACGAGGTTTTCGACCGCGGCCAAGAGAAAACGCCGTTGGATACTGCCACCGACACCGACCAGACCTTTCCTGCGGCATTAGGCTGCACGCGAAATCCCCACGACAAAATTTAGATTTATGTCTGCCACAGTAAGTGTCGCTGCACCTCTTCGAAGTCTGCCTGGTTTTCTGCCGTCAATTCAAACCCCTCGTCGTGAAAGAATGTGTAAAAGGCATGATGATCGTCCGAGAATTCAGCTGGCAATGTTACTGGAACGAAGTCTCCCTCAACCGTGTCTGTAATATACGTCCGCATAAGATCCCCATACTGCGAAACCCCGACCTGATAGGTTTCAGTAAGGATGGTGGAAGATTTCCAAGCACTCAGTGACTTAGCCGCTTCGTACTCGGTTGGCGTTGCCTACGAGGCTGTGGCTTGGGGCACCTATATCGATACTTGGGAGGATTCGCCCCGTACGGTCCAAGACGTGACCCGCGAAAATTTTGGTCTTTGTCTGGAACCTTTTCATGTGGCTGCTCGGGTGTGGGGAGATAATACGGTCGAGATTGGTGTTCGCGAAGATGCCGATTTGGCTCTGCGGCAATCGCTTCATAGACTCGTTGAGACTTGCCCGTTGGACAAGATATACTATGTACAGCTTTCCGATGGAGATAAATCTGTCCCGTCATTGCAGCCGGGACACCATTTCTATCAGGAAGATTTTCCTCCAGCTTTGTCTTGGTCGCGCAACATGCGCCCGTTCCCCCTGAGGAGGATTTAGGGGCTTACTTTCCTGTTCCAGTGATAGATCACGCGTGGCTGAATAGGAAATGGTGGAGAGGTGTGGTTTCGATTGAAATATTTGACCGGAGAATGAGGGATGAGTCGAGGCGACTAAGTGACAGTGTTCTATGCGAAAACTGACCTCCGTTTTTGGAAATTTCGACCGAGATTGATGCCAATAGGTGTTGCCGTGTTATTTCTGGAATATATGCAGAACAGAGAGATATAGGATGGCCATCAAGGCGCTTTTGTCTAAGGGATTACCTGTTACAGATTGAGACGGCAGCATATTAGATTATAAAGTAAACTATCTCTTCCCTTTTCTAAAACATCACAATACCGCCGTCGATCTTCAAGGCTCCCCCTGTCATGAACCGAGCATCCGCACTCCCCAGGAACGATACCAACGCCGCAACATCTGCAACCTCCGCCCATCGACCCAGAGGAACAGTAGCCAGCATACTTTTCATCTTCTCTTCTGGCCATGCGGCGAGAAACATTGGCGTATTGACACCACACGGATGGACCGTGTTAACACGAATGTTATACTGGCCCAGCTCTGCAGCTGCAGTGATGCATAGGCCGCGAAGAGCAAACTTGGAAGTAGAATATGCTGATAGACCGGGTGTTGCGCGAAGCCCAGCAATTGAAGAGACCAAGATGATACTGCCTCCGTTACCGGAGTCTCGCATTGCTCGCCCGCAGTGTTTAGCGCCTAGAAAGGCTAAAAGAGATACATAGTATTAGCTGCTCATTCTAGCAGCTTCGGACTAACTCCAAGAAAAGTACTCACCAGACCGACAATTCACTTGCATAACCTTATCATATTGTTCAACATCAGTATCCAAAATACTTGTCGACGAATACGATATGCCCGCGCAAAGAAGCGCAACATCAAGCTTCCCGAATCTCCGAATAGTCTTAGTAACATATCGCTCAACATCTCCTTCAGATGTGGCATCAGCTTGGACGGTAAGAATAAAATCGTTCCCATTCAGGCTTTTTCCATCTGGCAAATCTGCGATCGCTTTTAGTAGCTCTTCTTTTGACTGAGCGAGTCCCTGTGAGCTGATGTCGACCAGCACAACTTTGGCGCCTTCTACAAGATATCGCCGAGCAGATTCCAGGCCGATGTTCCCTGCAGCTCCGGTTATGAGAGCTACTAGGCCATGGAGGCGGTTTGGGATCGGTTCCTGAGGTGATAGAGATCGGGGCATGGTCGAATCCATGTTCGGCAGGCTCGACAGTACAGATATTAAAATGAGCTCTATGACAGATTGCGGAGGCCTTTTTTCGATGAAATTTCTTTTCCTCACTCAAGTTATGGGATTATCCATTAACATTCATGAGTGACTTGGCGAGCCACTCCTTCTAGTGAGATAATGCAGGAAGTCCGAGGTGAGGGGAAGTTCGGAGGAGTGCCCGAAACGTCTACTTTTTCGGAGCAGCTTCGGAGCCATTACCGGCGTTGTGTCAAGGGGCATTGTCGCCGGGAGGATAGTCACCCCCAGCCACGCGAGGAAAATAAGAAAAAAAAAAAAAAAAAAAAAAGTATATCGTAGAGCTTGCTCGGAAGAGCCAGACACTGATACGGACTTCCCCATGCGAACATATGCAGGGAAACTGGAGATGAAAGATCTGAAAGATTGGGCGAGAACAGAATTCATAGATTGAAGTATTTTGGAAGATATATCCCTTCATTGCTAGCGGCTTTCCATATGAATTCATCTTTCTCCGCCATCCAAAGTATAGAGCTTGACTTTCCTTCACACATTCTCCGCATGGGTAGAACTAGTCTGCTTCTCCAACCGAACTTCACCAGCCACCGTCGACTCCGCCTGTCGAAACTCTAGATAATTATTTCGGGCCTTTTGGCAAGGAAACTAACATCTGCCCCAAACAAGATGCCCATATCCTCCAACGTAAACCCCTTCGTTTCCGGAACAAACAAGTACGCAAAGACCAAAGCAACGATAGTACATGCTCCAAGGAAACCGAACGTGCCATATTTGATAGAGGCAGTCATGTGAGGCAGCAAGTAGACGATAATGAATTGAGCCAACCACTGCATGCACACAGCACATATCATCCCGATAGTTCGCACGCGAGTTGGAAGGACTTCTGATGCAAATATCTAGGGGATTCCGTTCCAGGAGAAGCCGTAAACATAAATGTAGATCATTGCGACAGCTGTTCGTGAGCCAGAGTCGCTGGGTGGAACTTGGTCGAAGGATTGACTTAGCTGGGAATATATGGCCAGGTAAAACATTGCTACTGTTGCACCGATCGCGCCGACTAGTAAGGGACCGCGACTTCCGAAACGATCCACGATCCAGATCATGAATACCATTTTTGTGCACATTTTTACTAGGCCTTAGACTCCGGTTGCTAGAAGTCCGACGGAGGTTCTGGTGAATCCAATCTAAGAATGCGTCGTTTCATACTGAAGTTCCAGTATCTTACCGAGCGAAAGTCTTGTATCTTCTTGGTAGCAAGTCTATAAAATAAATCTCAGGTAAATAAATATTTTTATATACTGGACTAGGCCAGAAGACGAGACTAATTTGTTGATTACTAGCAATGCAATGGAGCAACTGAGAAGTAAACTACTGCACATTTTTTCGCGGGCGGAGTGCCAGCCCTGGCTCCAATGCTTCTTGCACCTTATGTTGAACATCCCTAGGCGAGCGATTCTCTCCAGCCCGGCGAGTTTCTCTAGGCGTAGTGCCACAAGCTAGAACCTCTATGAAATCTCCTTCTTCCTGTACCTGCCCATTCTCCTCATCCTCCTCTTCTTGTCGTACCAGGATGTCTTCTCTTCATTCCAGTTTGTTATCATCAGAGTACAAGCCCTCAGGTGTTTCTCCAGCACCACTCAGAGCCAATGCCCTGGTCAGGTTCCACTGCATCTATAGTATATTAACTGAGGGAAAGTTGATTTTCGGTATTGTTTGTCGTGAAGGTGATAATATCGTTATTTTGAATGGACGCTGAAATTATATAATTTGACTCTCAGCTTCCTCTGGTCGTTGCTATGGCCAAGCAGCTTTATTGTATAATATGCTCTCTCCCACAGGCCATGTACACTTTACCATAGTACTATTAAATTAGTACAAGTCTCTGTCCTATTAGGATCTGATACTGTCTCTCTTCATTTCAAAGTTTCTTATCATGAGATTAAAACAACATAGCTATCTTCTAAATATTATTCAAGATATCAGCGCTGTTCGGTTGTCCCAGGATGTATGGAAAGATATGGGCAATCTCAACCGGTATGCCAGCTCTAGTTATCGGGCATTTATTGTTGTCCCTTCCTTTGCACTTTATGGAAGTTAGTATTGAATTTGAAGTAGCATGATATTAGAGTGACCGGTAGTCTACCAGTCGTTTGGCATCAGATTTTCAAAGATTTGAGATGTTCGGTGTCGGCAAGCCATAGGTACTCGGCGGACGCGCGATCAAAGTTGCTTGATGAAAAGTGTATGACAATAGAAGATGCTCAATCTGACAATGAGATTTCCTAATGAGACAGAAATATTATAAATCCCACCTGTGGAAATGATGATATAAATAGCATGTAAGTCTTCATTATTGAATCATTACTATATTATGCTATCTGGGATGATGACTGCTACTACTTTTCTTGAGGTATGAGCACGAAAGCCAAGGTAGATGGAGAGGATAGAAAGAGAAAGAGGAGCGATGAGGAAGAAGAGTGCTTTATATAGACCGCGAGATTCAATATAAGTATCGATGGTGAATCTGCTGCTTACTATTGATTGCAAGGATTAACAAGCCCAGGGCTGCTAATTGACCTTTGTTTCACCGTATCAGGCTATCGTAGTGACTATTCTCTAGGGATTCACTTTGATATATGCAAAACGTTCAGTCCGTCTTTCACTCTACAGAGAGGACCTGCGATAAGCGCTATGAAGAAAATTGCATCACCTTCTTTCTATTTTCTCACACTTTGATCTCCAATTTGCACAATCAAGTGATACACTAGGCTCAGCACTCGCTCAACGCCCTAGATTCCTGAAAGACTTTCAGGAGCAGAATGGCCGGCCGTCTGATTTGCTTGGGGAGGAGAGGGAGACCACTACCAAGGCACTTTGAGCCGCATCCGCCTCCAGTTCGGTCCTACGTGCGAAAATTTGTAGTAGTATATACTATATTTGCTTCATCATGGGAATGGATGTGGTAGATGAGAAACCACGATGTACTTTATTCGGGGACAGCACAGAGATCGTCACAGTCTTCCCCTCATATGTGTTGTTCGTGTCTCTAGCGGACAGAAACTTCCGTCCGACTCCCATCGTATTATGCCGCCTCCCAAGCCGCGATTTCCATCATCTGATAGGATAGAATACTTGATTTGCAAGAGAATAATGAGAGACTTATGTGTCCAATATCTGCAGCAGTGATTTGTTAGAGGTTTACTCGATGGTCCGATTCGGGAAGCTAACCCGACCTTGTCGATCAGTTGGATTTCTTATGTAACTTGGTGCATTGATCGCCCTCCAACAATTGAAGAAGGGGGGTCAGCGACCCATGTTATGCCTGGTGATGGGTTGTATCCTCGGTTGACATATGAACATATGAATTTCTTATCGATGCCTATTTGCCTTACTACAATACCCAGTGCCGTGCAATGTATGGCCCAAGTTGTCTTCTTAATCATGGGTCCATCAGCGGGTTCTATCATCAAGGAAAAGCCTGCCTCTTTTTTTTTTTTTTTTTTTTTTTTTTTTTTTCTAAATTACCTTTTATTGTGCTAGATTCAATCCATACTCGTCTCGTAGCATGTGGACAGCTCATCGTCAACCGTATAGCTTGTCTTAAGGACCTCCTTTAGAGCCCTCCCCCACCCCATCTCTTCCATATGGTCGGGATCACTTCCACACAGAGTATCTCATTAATGCGACCTGGAAATTCAGCAATACCAGTTTGTATTTGTCATTTTGGTGGCTGTGAATTCGTGTAGCTGCCATTCTTAGGTCCAACACAGATGTCATTACCCCGCTTGAACTGCAGTCTTGGCATATTGGGGGTGAGGCTGAATTCTCACTCACAATCGTAAGTTGTATCGAGTGTGACCATTAGCT